TCAGTGTGGGATGTGGGAAAGGGTGGTCGGCTACGACAGGACATTCCTGATCATGATCATCCCGGGAGCTCTCCGTGACAACTTCTGTGTGCTCCACAATGTCCTTGTAGCCTTCTTCTTCCTCCTCCTCTTCTTGTATGGTAGCAGAAGGGTGATCTTGAGCAAGTTGTGCACAAACTTGCTCAACCCACTCTGTTTGCTTCGCTGAGCGTTGAACAGCCTCCTCCATATCACGGAGATATGAGGGATCGGAAGAGGGAAGGGCCTGGATTTGATGATCCATCCTGGAGCATGTTCTCTCACAGGCTCGAGTAAACTGCTCCAAGAGAAGCCTCAGTTCATAGTTTGGATCTGGCTGTGGAGTGTAGCATGGCTCTGCAGAATGGCCCGTGAAGGCCGCCATGGGTAACTCCAGCGCTGATGGCCCTTCTGGTTGTGGGAGAAAGTCTTCTTGGTAATGAGATTGTCCTTGATATGCCCAGGGGTCAGATTGTTCTCCATAGAAAGGGGGTTGGTACTGGAACCCGGATCCATAGTCTTCTCCTCCTTGATTGCTCCAGGGTGTCTCGGGGTAATACCACTCGGATGGTGGTGGATACCCCCAATGGTTGGAGAAGCCATGACGACCCATGATTCAGATCTGCACCAACAAAAACAAAAACACCCAAGTGAAAAGCAAGGGTGGAAAACAAAAGAAAAACGCTAAAGTAACAAACTTATGCCTTTCCTAATAATCTAGAAATTCCCCGGCAACGGCGCCAAAAACTTGACTCGCTAAAACACAACTCCTAACAATGGCCAAGTGTAACCAATGAAAGGGACTGCAGTATAGTGGCTCAAGTAATAAATATCGAATCCACGGGTCTCTAGAGTTACTATTACTCAGCTTCAGTTCATTATCTAGCAAAACAGATTAAGATGAAAGAACTAAAACTACTCTAGCAAACTACAGTTAAAGTTAATCTAATTACAGGTTGGGAACTCACTTAGGTATGATTCCCCCTAGCCACTAGCCAGATTAACGATTGATGATCTCTAACTTGTTTCACTTTCATTCACAATGCGGAGAATCCTTGACTAGACCTTGAGTCTCGACTAAAGGAACAAGGCCCTCTTGAGTCAATTGCCTAGAGGGACGTATCCTTCTCTAGAACAACTGATCAAGGCGTTCTGAACTAGATTCCCTCTATCGAATGAGGTTCTCAATCGATACAAAGCATTGAATCAACCCTCGACTAAAGCAATCGATCCAATACTATCAATCTATGGTGCTCTATTGACCTAATCAGGTATTCGCTCTCATAGGATCAAAGCAGAATCAATAATCTCGACTAAAGCAGAATTGAATCATGAAAACATGCATAGATTGAATATGAACTCAAGATTATCAAGTCAGAGTACTCATACAATCATCCAATCAAACAAACATAGCTAGGGTTCCTCAAAACCTAAGTGAAGGGAAGTTACTCCATAGAGAAGAGAGAGACTGCAGAAATCTGATCTAGATCTTCAATCTCCATCTCCAAGCTTGATTCCCGAGCTCCAATGGCGAAGAAATCCTCCAAAATAGCTCCAAGAATGTTCCCAAGTCGCTCTCTCTCTCTAGGGTTCGTCCCTTGGGTGTTTGGGATCCAAAACCCAGCTCTCCCTTCTTTTGGCTCGGATTAGGCTTAAAAACAGGCTTCCCCGAGTTGCACGGCCAGGTGCACGGCCGTGCACCACTCCATTCTGGCCGTGCAGCCCTAAAACGCACCGTATCAATAAGTTCAGCCTTCAACCATCTTGCACGGCCGTGCAAGGCTGGATTTTGCCCGTGCAAGGCCTCGGCAGAGAGCGCACGGCCAGAATTATATGTTGCACGGCCGTGCGCCTCCCTGGTCTGCCCGTGCAGCTTGCTCAGCCTCTGTTTAATGCTTCGTTTCTCCCTCGTCCGGACTCCGAATCAGTCGCCGTTTGATCCCAGACGCTCGTAGTCTCGTCCTCTTTCTTTTCATGACAAGCTTGCATGATTCTTTGTCCATAAAGTGAGGTAGAAATCCATTCTTCTTCAGGTCATGCCCGAGTTTCTACTCCCGAATCGTCAATTGATCTCTGATTGACTTGAAACTTGCGCCTATGCTTCACTTTATGTGCTAGGACCTGAAATGTGACAAAGGAACACAACCTAGCGTAAAATAGGCCAAAGACACGGTAATTCAAGCTCAAACAATCAAGAAACAAAAGGGGAAAACATGTGCAAATGACGGTCTATCAGTATATGGCTGATTGTTACCGTGTCGACACATGCAAGAAATCATACTCTTTTGTTGTCCGTCCTCTCAATGATTCCAGTCAATGGATTCATGATGACTGCATTGAGCTTGAATCACCTATATTTCAAGAGAAGAAGAGGGGTCCTAAACAGAAAAAGAGGCGTAAGGAAGCATGGGAGGTGGAGAAATCAAAGAAAGATAAGCGGGGAAGAACATACAAAGTTATGTCCAAAGGTGGAAGCGAGATGACATGCACAGTATGCCAAGAGAGAGGACACAATAGCTGATTCCACGACAAGGTGAGAATGGAAATGATTTCTTTAACATTAATCTGCCCATGTTTTCTTTAACATTAATCTTCCGAAATCTATTTATGGTTAATGGAAATGATGCTGCAATATTGACATTGTTATTTTTTCCAGAATTCTGGCGGTAACGATGCAGCAGGTCCATCGGCAGCATCTCCTCCACACATGGCAGCCTCTCCTCCATACAGGGGAGGCTCTCCAGTAGCTGCATCTCTTCAAGATGGCGAGCGTGCAGAGGGCTCAACCTTCATGCCTACTCCAGCATTTAGGACGAAGGTCACAGTTCGAAGGGGTCGTGGTAGGGGCCGTGGCAGGCATAACCAGTAGTTGAAGAACAAGTACACATGGACCTTTTGTAGGAGCTGATTAGACCACTTTTGTGAACACCTTTCTTTTATGACATGTTGATTGCTTGTTGAACGTTTCATGACGAGCCAACCCATGTCAAGTAGGATCTAATCAGTTTAATGAATGTAATCTACAGTCTAGATGTTTAAAGATGCAGGTTTGTTTTTTTTGCTCAGGTTTGAATGTCCACTATGCTGAAGTCACGCTTTACTGCAGTCTCTCTGCACAATAGCTAAGTGACCATTTTGTTACACTCACCAAAACATTGTGACCATTTTGTTACAATGACCAACTAATTGTCACTGTTTTGTCTATTAGTGATTAGTTTTATGACCATGTTTGTATCGATAATAAAGCTATATGACTATGAAAGATAACGTTTCAAACTGAGTTAGAACAAACAAAAACAGAATACGTTTCAAACTAAGTTACAACAAACAAAAACATAATTACAGGATGATTTCATGTTCTACACTACACATATCTACCAATAATGATTCCAATAATCACACAAACGACTACAAAAACTAGATTAATTATCCGTGCAAACATATCTTTAGTTTGGTTGCCCCTTCTAGAATGTCCATTGTCGCGTGCAGTCGATGAAAAAGAATTCGTGTCATTCAGCATGCTCTCTTCCCTTGATCTACTTTCCATGGTTTTAAGCTTCTTCAACAACCCATTTATGACAGCTCTGGCCCTATCTTGGACTGGAGGGTCGACCCATCAAAGAAATCGCAGCTATGGGGTAATTTCTTGATAAAATGAAAGAGAAGAGAATGGTTACCAAATCTTCTTATGGAGAACACAGAAATCAGAATCAAATTCAACATCCTTACCAAGTAATTTCTCTTACAGCGGAGGAACCTTCTACCCAGATTATCTTCCGTCCACGAAGTTAGCAAAACAACTCTATTTTGACACTTGCAAGCAGACAGGGAACCCATCTCACTCGGACTGGGGGCTTCTTTTCCTTAAGCTGATTTTGATTTGGGATTTTAGGGTTTCTGTGTTCAAAGGAAGGGGGAAAAAGAAGCAAGTGATTAATGAAGGTGAGGGTTTCTAGTTTTATAGGGGGTGCGTATCAGGCCATAAGGGGATGGGTAAAGGATGGTTTCGACCGGTTGGAGTGTTGGGTTAATTGGGATGAGTAATCAATTTTTAATTATTATTTAAAGTGACGTGCCATGCTGAAGGGGCGATTTGGGACTGAGTTTCGAACGGAATTGGACGGATTGACCATTTCGTTATTCGTTCAAACTTTTTTTACCGAAACGTGCAAAATTAAAGGATTGTGACCGTTTTGTACAAAGTTAATAGGATTGTGACCATTTATGATAACTACCCCAAAAGTACATTACAAGTGTCAACAAAAAAAATTATATTTGTCCATATCAAGATTTAGGTTACAAAATCATACTAATTAAACAAGATATGGTTGATCAATTATATTTTTTTTAATTCTCTCAAAAAGTATACTAGTTTGGTTACTTCATCGACGTTAACCTCTTCACCAGTTTGATCCGTAATGGTGCGGAGCTCATAATTACACTATCAAGATAATCGTGATAAATGCAATAATTTCAAAGTTATTTCTCAATCTTCAACCCATCCGACTTTTTGGATTACTCGGTAATTTATTGATACGAAAAGCTTTCTGAGTGACTCCATAGATTATTTACATATTTACTTTTGATTCGGTAATTCGCTCACGAGGAAACGGTTTTTTTTTTCTGCCTGCAATAGGAAGCGGGGGGTTTTTTTTTGTCATAGATTGTAAATCGATAGCAGGTTACAAAATTAAAATGTTAAAGCGGCCGTAGGAAACGTAATTAGAAAAAGAAAAGAAGCACGAAAAAAATGAAAAGGATCCAAAAATTCGATGAGAATAAGAGACCGTAAGTGAATCCATGGATTACTTATATATTTACTTTTGTTTCGACAGTTCATTCACGAGGAAACATTTTTTTCTTTTATTTTTTGCCTGCAGTAGGGTTTTTTTTTTTTTTTTTGTCATAGATTACAATCGATAGCAGGTTACAAGATTGAAATGAAAAAGCGGCAGTAGGAAAAGTAATTTGAAAACGAAAAGAAGCAAGAAAAAGATGAAAAGGATCCAAAAATCCAATGGGGATAAGAGACCGTTAAAACCAAAAATAAATTCCTCCCTCTCCCTGTTACTACAAGTCTTCAAGCAGGATTCCTTGGCAGAATCATGAGCAACTTATCAATGGCCGCCGCCGTCGTCCCCTCCATTTCCTCCGCCTCTTCTTATTCTTCTTCCCTAATTCTTCGTCCCTTCAAACTACTCCCTGCAACTAAACCCTCTTCGTCCTCCTCTGCTTTGTCCCTGGTCCTGACTTGCGCTGCTCCCTCCTCCAAGGATGCTCGCGGCGGCAAACGAAAACCCACTTCCAGAAGGAGCAAGTACGGCACTTCTAGGAGGTCGACTCTCAAGAAATCGTTCAATCAAGAGCAGGTCGTGTTCACCGCTCCAGTCTCCCACGAACCCCATGTAGGGATTATCGGAGGCGGCATGGGCGGTCTGCTTTGTGCTCTCGGTTTGGAGCAAAGAGGGTTCAAGTCCACGGTTTTCGACACGGTTGGTCAGTTTTGCCCCGCTTGTTCAAAATTTTTGGGGGATTCGATATGTATTCTGGTTTCTGGATGCATTTAAATCCGTCAACATGTGAAATAAATTAGCTCTTCCTTTAATTTGATTGAATTGTGGGAATTCAGGGGATTCACGGGTTGGGAGGAAGATTGGGGACGAGAACCATTGTCGGTGGTGATAAGGAACTTATATTCGATCATGCTGCTCAGTTCTTCACTGTAAGTGATCCTGTATTTGGTGACCTAGTAAATGGTTGGTTGGCAAAAGGTCTGGTTGAAGAATGGAAAGGTAGAGTTGGGGAGATTGATGCCGGTGGTGGTGGTGGATTTGTGCCCTTCCCACCAATCCCTCCAAGATATGTCGGTGTTAATGGAATGCGGTTTCTTGCAGACTCACTTCTCTCACAGGTAGTCTAATGATCCTTCACTTTTTTTAGTGGTGCTTTTCTCTGGCTCAGTTAATGTGTGTCCCCTTGCACCTGCACCTAGAATATGTTGAAATGGATGATTTGATTTGTTGGATTGGTGGCAGAGTGAAATGGTGAATGTGGTGAGACCTTGCTGGATAAGCAAGCTCGAGCCGTTCAATGGGATGTGGCACTTGAGTGAGAATGGGAAGCCTTGTGGGCAGTTCGATGTCATTGTGATTGCACACAATGGTGAGTTCCCGATAGCTGCGTCGCCATAACTACATAATTTTTCTTCCATTTGCTAACCTTCTTTTGTTCATTTCTTGCTTCAATAAATGCCTGTTGGGAAATTGGGATGTATGTCTGCCAGGGAAATGTGCGAATCGGTTGCTTGCTACATCAGGCTTGCCCTTAATTGCAAGACAAATGAAGGTACTCAATCTTCTTCTCAACTATTGGCTTTGTGTTGTGATAAAAACTACTTGATGATGGAGATGGTGATTGTTATGCATACGCTGCGAATGAGGTTGCAGAAGCTTGATTTAAGCTCGATATGGGCGCTGATGGCGGCATTTGATGATCCGCTTCCAATACCGTTCGAAGGAGCATTCGTGAGAGGAGTGGATGCATTGTCGTGGATGGGTAACAACTCCGGGAAGCTTTCGAAAGGGAAACAAAGCCCCGAATGCTGGACACTTTTCAGCACCGGAGCTTATGGGAAGAGGAACAAAGTTCCACAGGTAGGCAGTAGCAGTAGCTTATGACCAAATTATAAAAAGTCCCTTCCTTTCCCTTCATTGAGTAAATCTGGTTGGGTTTTTGTGGTGTTAGGAAAGCATCCCATGTGAAACAGCAGAGAAGGTGAAAGAGAGCATGTTGGAAGGTGTAGAAGCCGCTTTAGGAATGGAGAAAGGACAGCTGCAAAGACCATCTTACACAAAACTCCAGCTATGGTATTGAACTTAAAAAACCTGAGGTTAAAAGTACTGTAACAATGGTGACTGAATTGTTAGTTACCGGAGGCTGAAATTTGTTATTTGTTTGAAACAGGGGTGCTGCTCTGCCGACCAACAGTCCAGGGATCCCCTGCATATTCGATCCCCAAGGAAGGGCTGGAATCTGCGGGGATTGGCTTCTCGGTTCAAACATGGAGTCCGCCGCCTTAAGCGGCATTGCTCTTGCTAATCATGTGAGTCCAAACCCATGCTCCCGTTTTCCCTAATCACAGGCGCGTGAAGCCTAAAGCCATTAACCAAATATGCTTTCTTTCTTGCTCCTGCTGCGCAGATTGGGAATTACTTGGAAACCGGCGGCGAAACACCTGCAGCCGCTGAAGAATTCGGAATCGGTCTGACCACGGATTTCCCCCCGATTCAAGGCCACGACATCGGCCAGTTCTCTGGGTTGAAGAACATACAACAACCTGTACAAGATGCATTGCATTCTTCTGTAACAGTCACAGTGTAGTAGGAAGAAACAGCGCTAGTCTAGTTTTCCGCCATTGTTTATGCCGACGAGCTTCAGAATTCAATTGAGTTTATAACAATGGCGTGCCAGTTTTTTTTTTTTAACCTTTAAGATACGATGTAATCCAAAGAAACAGCTCTAGGGTGATTTTCCGCCATTGTTGATATGGTCCAGCTTCGGAATTCAAATGAGTTGCTTACTTTGGGAGACGAGAAACAATTCAAATTCCCTGGAAAGAAAAGGCTTGGAATTCACTTCAATTGAGTTAATACAGAACGTAAAACGAAACCCTAGCAATGTTGAAACCCTAAAGTAAAAAAGCTCTGTTACAACCGAAACTATTCATTCTGATACTTCTCAGCCCGCAATTTACAACACTAAATATTGCCGTTCACCGCTCGCCTTCCCAAACAACAATCAGTCCTACGACTCATCAAACACAAAGAATCTTCACTTCCGGGCCTTCCGCGTAGCATTGGCTCTCTTCACTGGCTTGGCAGCGGCGGCAGCCTTCTTCGGCTTAGTCGCAGCCTTCTTCGACGGGGAAGTTACCGACGCTGTCTTCGCCTTCTTAGCCGACTTGGCAGCTGCTGGCTTGGGAGCCGGAGCCTTCCTCTTAGCTGGCGACTTGGCAGCTGGCTTACCTGCTGCTGCAGATTTAGCTTTGGAAGCAGCGGCTTTAGGCTTTGGCTTGGCCTTGGCGGCTGCCGGTTTAGCTGCTGCCTTTGCAGGCTTGGTCTCGGTTTTGGCAGCTGGAGCCTTCTTCTTCGCTGGCGCCTTGGTCGTTGACTTAGCCGAAGCGGTTGTTGTTTTCGCCTTTGACGCGGCGGCTTTGGCTTTCGACTTCGGCTTCGGCTTAGCAGCAGTAGCCGCTTTGGCCTTGGGCTTTGCCACCGCCTTGGTCGTAGCAGCCTTCGGCTTGGCTGCTGCTTTGGATTTCGCAGCAGGCTTCTTAACAGCAACCGGCGCGGCGGCGGCGGCGGTGGAGGAAGACCGAGACGGCAGCTTGAACGAGGCCTTCACTTTGACGAGCTTGCCGGATGCGACGAGTCTCTTGGACTGAATCAGAAGCAGCTTCCTGAAATTCGACGGCAGGTTCTTGTGCTTGTCCTCGATGCACTTGGCGATGGCGATCTGGCTCGATCCAGTCCTCTCCTTCAACGTCTTAATCGCTTCAGTAATCATCTGCAGAAAAACATAAACGAACGACGGAACGTTAAGAATCAGATCCAGAAAACGGAATCGATCAGGAACATTCAGTATTCCGATCACCGGAAGGCGGCGATTAACGAGATGTGAGAAGAATTTTACCTCTTCGAAAGAAGGATAGCTGCGAGCAGCCTTGGGCTTCTTAGCTGCAGCTGGCTTCTTCGCCTTGGGTGCTGCTTTGGCCTTGGATGCCGGCTTGGATGCGGCTTTCTCCTCCACCTGCGTCTCTTCTGGAACGGGCGTCGGCACGACGGGAGCTTCCGTTTCCGCCATTGGAGTGCGAAGGAATTAGAATCAAAAAATGGAAAGAGGAGAGATGGAGGCGAGATTACGATTGAGGTTTCGTAGAGAGAGAAAAGGCGAATGTGTGGGGATTAACGGCCGGAGAGAGAGGGATTCATATAGAGCGAAATGGTGGAATCTGATTGGTCCAGACGCACGCGACACGGATCGATGGGTATTTGGAATTTTGAAACTGGGCCGTCAGATGAGGGTGTGGTTGACGGCGGAAGATGGGCCATTTGGGAAAGTGGTGGATTGGGATGGATTGAGGGGAGGCAGTGGAAAATGGGAAGAGAAGGGTTGGGGGATGTGTTTTTTAGCTGATTTGAAATAGGCATAACTTGGGTTTAACCCATCCAATTTCTGTAAAATTTTCAGGGTTTTGTAGATTAGGACGTGAGCTTTCCAACGAATGTCCACTCGACGGTTTTGGATGTGGGGATTGGGAGGAATTCAGATCGGGAGCCGGATGGGTCAAGTTTAGGGTTCTTCGGGAGCTAGTCGGAGTTTATTGACGTTTCCACCCAATGCTTGGGACATATTCCTAATTTTATGGTTTCAAAATGTTCTAGGGCTCCTTGGCGATCTACTGGTTCATGAATCACGAAATTTGGAGCAGAAATACCCATCCAAATGTGGACTGCAAAGGGACTGAAGTTGCACACGTCCATCCTCAAATTGCTCTGCTTCTTCACCTATTTGTGTGTTCAAGCCCCTGCTGTGAGCAACCATGGATTGCTTCAGATCTTTCAAATATAGCTAGATTCAGTTCGCAATCTAGACTTTCTACATACCCAGAATCGATTAACAATTCGACAACCACAGAGGAAATTCCCAAATCACCTACTAGCAAAATGAGCTTGATCAATTCATCATCAAGTGATCGTTCTGACGTGTTCCCAACTTGTGCAGCCCTTGCTTCGACATGCCATCTTGGATTATGAGAATGGACTCGCAATTCACAATCTTGAAGTCTAGCTAATAAATCAAACGAAGAAAGAGCTGGTAATGAAGAATTGCCTCATAATGAGGTTGCTTCTGGGTTTGGGTTGTCATGTGTCTTCTTGGCCTATTACACAAGTTCCATGACCAAGGTGAGCAGGTGACGTATTGTGCACCCAAAGGCCAAAGTAGTGTCTTGTTTCGATGTTCTCACCCGATCCAATCGATTTTACCGAACAAAATACGAGATAAATGTTCATCAAGTCGAATTTTCTAGAATCCAACTAGAAAAGTAATCAAATGATATAAGGTTGCTAATCAGGACTTTGATGGCCTACCTTGAAATCACTCGGTTGTATATACAAAGTCTTTTGAAGACCTACTCATCTTATTGTTTTCATCATCTCGAGAATCGGTATATCTCTTGAGACGAACATCGTCTTTCTACGTATAGATGATAAGAATATCTACACCTACAAATAGTTGCTCAAATTCTACAAAAACACATAGCATAACCCTGAATTTAATGGTTATTGAGTGGATCTGGTTCCAATCAAACATGGATATCACATATAAAACGCAATGAATTAATCAATATTCACTCAAGCTCTTCATATTATATAAAATATAATTTTTGTACACCTTCTTTATGAACTACTATTACATTTTTCCTCGAAATTATCATGCATCCATAATATGTATTTGACATAGTCATGAACTAGTATCTTTTAGAGATTGCACAATGGTTGGTGATTGTGAGTTGCCAACAAAACTCTAATACATTTCATTGATATTCATCAAAAGCATACCACCTCGTCAATTTTTCCACCCAAAAACCTTTGGATCATATATGCACAAAGTAATTTCAAGTCTCCACTTCCCTAATTTTTATCATCCATATCCTTCATAGTCAAGTTGATCTCTTGAATTCTATTATTGTATACTTCTTCCAACATTTATGAATGGCATATCTACAAGATCAAACAAACGCTTAAAACAAAAATTATACACAATAACAATAACTTAAAATATGATAGTTTATGATTGTGTGTAGATTTTCCCTTAAGGACACATGGTACGTTTTGATAAGTCATACAACATCGTCACCAAGTTTTTATTACAAGAATAATTGCATAACATCATATGAACTATTGAGTATATAGAAAAATCTTTTTCGACCAATTCGATTTTCTTGATCACCAAGAATTTGTATTCAAATATTCGAGGAAGGTATCCAAATTCCAAACAAAGAAACACTCTAGACAAGGTAAGTGGCTGATAAATAAATAATGGAACACAATTAATTAGCAAGTAAAAGCACTCAAAGTACTTCAGTTACTAGTAATCGATCATGTACTAAAAGCACTCAAAGTCGGGATTCTACGTAAATGGTAAAATTGAATCTCAAAATCGTATAATTTTTAAGTATCACGTAAAAACTAAGACGTAAAAAATTGGTAGTATTGATAAGGCAACATGTAATACTTAAGATGATGACTTCTACATATAACTTTATTAAGTCAACACAATTGTAATCTCAATTACAAGTTACAACAATTCAACACAAGTTTCGTCCATATTTCCAAACCAAAAAATTCAAATTTCCATTAGCATTTATTTTCTTCTTTATTGTTTTTTTCAACGTAGAAGCAATATCATTGCTAGAAGATATGATGGCTAATGAGCATTCATGAAAGCTGTTGTAGTGGATCTTTAAACACCATCGGCTCGTTGTTGTAATGAGCGATAGGAAGAAAAGTATTGACAGTTGTCAATGATTTCTACTGGTCGATGGTGATTGTTGTTTGGAAGTGGTGAATCGATGATGATTAATGAGTTGGTGTGGGTTGGGGATGGTCGTGGATCTTCTTCCTTCTGCTACTGAACTTCACCTTAGGGGTAAATTGGGTTCTATTCAACCCAGATCATGGTAAATATTCTTGGGTCACTCTATGATCCACTTCCTAAACAATAAAGATGCTTAGCTAGACCTAAGGTTGAAATTTATCTACCAATTATCATAGGGACAATTTCTTATCAAATCAAAGGTAACCATAAAAAGTGGGATACTGAACACCCCAAAAGCGAAGAAGTTTTGGAAGAAAAAAAAACTTATCCTCTCTCAACTCCGCCCTGTCGTGGAGAGTGGGAGCGAGGACAGCGTCGTACTGCGTCACACCGTAACTGCCTCGCCGGCATCGTGTGTTGCCGGTTCCGGCCTCGACGGGATGGGCTTTTAAAGCCTCCACCCTGGGGTTCTTATTTCAGGTGCTCAAAGTCATTCTCTCATCTTCCCCTCTTGTGGATTTCTCGAATTGAATCCCTCCGATTCTCTAACCTAGTTGCTATGGCTACTGGAAACGTGGTGATTTTTGGAGATGCTGATGTCGCTCCTAGCATCGAACGGAATGATCTGTCGCTGCTGGGCAAATCATCGGCCCTTCCCCTCTGATGCGGGTCCTTCAATCAACTCTCGAGGGGATCTGGAACTGTAATGGGCAGGTCGTTTCCCCAATTCTGGGGAGTTCCCACTGTGTGCTGCTCGATGAAGATGGGAACGCTGCTTGGAGGGTACCTAGGGAAGACAGATCCAGGTTCGGTTCACCGTGCAGCCAGAACGGCGGAGATTTACTTCCGCGCTCGGGTATGGCTCGACTCTCGCCTTCCTCTCCCTGTTTTTGTCCCAGCAACCCATGAAAAGGTAGGGAAGGGTGAGTTCACTGGTACTGTCAAATTTGAGAAACTATATCAATTATGTTACTTGTGTGACATTCTTGGGAACATTGGCCACCAATGTCCTCGGCGAGAAGAACTCGCAGGCAAGGCTTCGCCCTACAATAAGAAGTTGATCTCAAGAAATCCGGCCCCAAAGTTAACGAGAGGAGCCTTCTTGGCCGATGGAGTCTCACTTGGGTTCGACAAGTGCCAGCTAAGCCCTTGTCGATGCCTCAACAGGGCCATCTGCAGATGTTAACAGCCCCAGGATTAGTTCCGAACATTGCTGCAACCTCTCCAACATCAATAGGAGGTGATTCTCAGCAATTAAGTTTGACGCGAAGGAGGACTGGCATGCTTGATCTGCTGCCGGAAGAGCCTGAAAGTAAGAAGCAGAAGATGGAGGAGATTCCTCATATGCAGGATTGTGGAAAGGAAATTGTGGTGGAGGCAACCAGCCCGGACTGGTCCCAGCCAGCCAGATGAGCATTCTTGCTTGGAATTTTCAGGCACTAGGCTCTCCCTTGACAATTCCATCACTCTTTGGAGCCATTTGCCGCTTTTCTCCTTCTGTTATATGCTTAAGTGAAACGAAGCATGATGATGATTTTGTAAATAAGAAATTAAACCGGTTAGGGTATGTTGTTGCTAGATGTGAGTCTCCAGTTGGGAGGGCAGGGGGTCTTGCACTTGTTTGTGCTCAGAATATTCAGTATCAGTTGAAGGGAGAAGCATCTTTTTTCATATTTGTTGAACTTCACTATATTGTTTGGGGTAGTATAGATGTCTTCTTTGTTCACCTTAGCCATGATGTACATATTCACTCTACTCAATTCAATGAACTTCTTAGTTGATCTCATCATGTGTCCTCCCTATTCTTGTGTTAGGGAATTTTAATTGCATACTCTTCGCCCCCGAGAAAAAAGGTGGTCGTCCCCCATCTTTCTCTGTTTTGGAACAATTTCGTGGCTTTCTTGACTCTGCATGTTTGATGGATTTGGGGTTCTTGGAGCCCCCTTCACTTGGCCAAATCGCCAAGGACTCTACTCATATCCTTGAACGGTTACATTGAGGCTTAGGGTCTGAGTTGATAATCCATAATTGGCCAACTATGAAGGTTTCTCATTTATCTGATCTTGGCTCTGATCACAGAATGATACTTTTGCACCTGGTTCCTGGATCGGGCAAAGGCAAACCCCGTTTTCAATTTGACAAACGTTGGTGTTCGAACAATGAAGCACGAACCATTGTTCTCCAAGAGTGGCAAGTTGTCATTTCAGGTACACCGCAATTTAAACTCTTCTCAACCCTTAATGCAGCTCGACACCAGCTCGCCGATTGGGCGCGCAAAGACACCACCAACTCTGCAAGGCAAATACGAGAACTCTGTCAGGCGATTAAGGTGGAACGAGATCGCTTGCCCATTGATTGGAC